GTGCCGGGCTGGTGTTGGGGTGCTGTGTGGGCTCCGACCCCGCTGCCCTCACCGGGAGGCAGTGGTCACTCAGGTGTCAGTGTGATATCCCTCACTTAGGTCTGAGCAAGGTGATGGCCACAGCTGCCTGTGCGTTAACCCCTCCATTGCCACTTCACCTCCTTTTCCTGCGGAGAATTAGAAAATGCTGGAAGCATTGAGGATGAGCTCCAGTGCTCAAAGGAGGGAACATCACTGCATTTCCCAGCCGAAGAGCATCCAGCACAGATCAGAGGAACTGTGTGGTGGTGATAAGTTGAGGACTGGTGGTTGGGGTCCTTGGTTTCACTCCATCTTCCCAGCCCCCAGTGGCTCCCTCTGCGCCGCTCTCCCTGCACAGCTCAGCCCTCAAGTGCCGTGTTTCTCTGCAGGTGACTCGTCCACCTGTAACCTACAGCCCTGCCAACCCCTCGAGTTTTTCACCTTTGCATAAAAGCCCAGCTGGACTCGGGGCTAGTCTTTGAAATGAGCAGTAATCTTATTACCTTTATCAATTCAATCCTCTTAAGGTTCAGTCAATCCTATTAATCAGGCTTGTGATGTGGAGAACCTTATTATTTCAAAGTCAATCTGCCCATCAGTCAGTTATGATATTGGGAACAATCAGCTCAAGCCCGGAGGGGTGCGTGACCCCGGCGGCGTGTGTGGGACCACGGGTCTCATCAGCTGTGACACCCCACGTGCTCCGGCTGTGGACACATCCCCGAGGGGCTGGAGAACCTGACCCAGGATGGCGAGGGCCAGAATCCTTCCGGGGCATGGACAGGATACGTCCTGCAAGACTCGTGCTGCTTGTTGGCTCCCTTTGCCTGGGAACGCTCCTGCTCTCACCGCAGCCACGCCGGGCACCCGGCTGGCTCCATCATTCTTCCTCCTGGGCTGAGGAGCTGGAGGGGACAGGCAGTGCCCAGTGACACCCCCGGGCACAGGGACTGGCACTTGAACCCCTTTGGGATGGTTGGTGTAGACAGAGCCCTCGCCAAGGCGGGGTGGGGCACTGGGGCTGCGGGGGGATGGTGCT